CCGAAGCTGCAGTCTGCCCTGGATACTAATAACTTTCGGGGGCAAAGCTAAGTGAAATTCCATGGCATCGTAAAGCCTACTCGTATCATTGTGGGAATATTCGATAAACAGCCCTTCATCATATTCTACCTATGGTGTCTGCTTTTCTTATTCAAGATCTACTGACAGTACCAAAACCTATTTCTAATGAATATAAGTAACGCAGTTGAGTTTAACAACTAATTATGAGTATTTTAATAGTAATACGATTTTGACACTAGGAATGCAAGATTCTTGTTAACTTCCCAGAGTGCTAATAAAAGTATGCTATGAAAAAATCAGGGCAATTAACTTACTTTTAAGCTACATATGTAGAATAAGAATAGTCACTTGCCCTTTTGAGTATTGACTTCTGGAGAGACCATCAAAAAAGCTTTTTATATCTGTCTCAAGATCAATGCTCAAATCAACAGGATTGGGTGAATGGTCAGACTCTTCGGCAAGCAGCTGTTTCCCTGAAATTGCGATTCTCTTCGGAGTCTGAATATTAGAAGTAGTCGACACGATAGATTCACTCAGAGATTCGTGAGATGAATTTTGCACAGGAACCGGAGATATTGGAGAATTTAAAAAGTTAGAGTCAAGACTCTGTGAGTGTTCAAATTCGGTTTTCTCGACTTGATAATCATTCACACTTACCCCCCTAATAGGAGGTGTTCCAGAAAATTTATCCCTTTCAAAATTATCACGATGCGCTGAGCATTTTATGGCAGTCGGAGTCGGTGTGCGAGACTCGCGGAGACCTCGGGACGAGGTTCGGCTTAAATATTCAGAGACCCCCAGGGGCTCCAGGTTTATAGAAAGTTTTTTACGCCTCGTAGGTGAACAATTCAATTGGGCCGAAGAGATCTTGTCTGAAAAGCCTTGATCCTCCCGAGCTACTTGCAGGACGGTATAGTTGTTGAGCTCATTCTGCTCTTTCCTATAATCTGTGTCGCCATGTGCCGGACCGTCTTGCACAGATAAATTATAAGAAACTTCTGAATAAGTCTGTGATGGATTAATCTTAGAGTTCGACAATATTTCTCCAGATGACTGCTGAAGCAACTCACCAGTTTTGTTAGAATTATCTGTGTTGCATTGTTTATCTAGTGAAGGGGTCAGAAGCAAATAATATACCGTTAATTCAGTTACGAAATGCGCAAATATAAAAATAAAGTAGTATGTTAAAATTTGCTGGCAGAAAAGTTTGAATATTCCAGTCATTCATGGGATTTTCCGCTGAGAAAATGTACTTTACAAGTACGTTATAAGGAACATTTTATTGAGTAACTACCAGGAACCTGAGTGTTGCCGAGATGTAAGAATGACGAAACCTGAGCAAAGTTGCGATCGCATTTAACTCTAGATGAAAAAATTCTTATGTGTAAGAGATTAAATTCAATGCAAAAGTCAAGCATTCTCATTTTGTTGAGAAAAAACTCGCTCAATGTACAATAAAAATTATTTAAAATAATGATTCGTGATAACAATAGATGACATTTAAACTGTATGAATAAACCAAGAGGTATATGCACATTGTAAAAAAGAGCATAATTCTGATGCAGTAAAAACCGGAGGCCTACTCATATTACTGCAGGACAGTTCAACTGATTGTCCTTTATCGAAATATCCTTAAGTGAAATATGGTGAATACAGCTCCTATAAAATATCAAATAAGCAAACGAAGGACCACGTAGGTATGTAAAAAAATCTGATTTCGATAAATCCCTTAACAGGTTGACGTTAGAGCACCTTTCATCTAATTTGAATAGGTGAGTGAAAGTCGGCCTCACTGGAAACTGAAGGGAGATTTCCTCGTAGCTGCGACTGTAGATTTGTGTGAATAAGTCCTCGGCTCACCGCTCTGCGACCCAGATTTATCGCACAAAGCTGAAGTCACAGCAACGAGGCAATCCAACTTTAGCTTCCAGTGAGGCTAACTTACGAATCCCTTCCACTCACCCGTTTAAATTAAATGAAAAGCACTCCTGAATCAAACGAAGATGTAACTATGCTTCTGTGATTAACAATAAAGCCGTCTGTCAAAAACAGATTTGAAAATATCTAGGACATGTGTAGTCCTGATCTCATCTGCATCCATATATCATAATTCTGGGTTATTTTGAGAACAATGGAGATTGACTGGATAATAAAACTATCTCGGTAAAATAGAATTATAATGAATGTCATCAGTGGATAATACCTCTTCTTAAAAGTCCAATACTCAGATGCGATATTTGGAGTTGATTTTTGTGCGAAATGGAATGGGCATAGACTTTCTTGCAACAAAATGCTTGTCCATATTCCCAGTCATTCGCGTGAGCGAAGAAATGGCTTCAAATTGTTTAAATCTTGTCCCCTCAAAATTGACTGCTGTATGAACAGTCCACATAGGAGCTAAGACAATATTGAGACTCGGCATATAAGTATGATGGGCGGTCTCAGCCCCTCAAAATTTTGACTTGGCCTCGAGTGTTCGGACGACTAAACTGTTGAATGACCATTTAGTTCTAGAAACCAAAGAAATGTGGTACTATTCTATGATGGGAAGAGAATTAAATTTAATTAAAACATGAAGACCAAGTTAAAGTGATTTCTGTGATACTTCGCAACTTTGGCTCCGAACAAGCAATCTAAAAATAAATGGCCCGAAACTGATGTCCCTATAGGCTATCGATTCCCTAATATAATAAATGATTAAAAATGGAGAAAGTCGGGTAGATTCGTTTCCCATAAATATTGGTGTATTAA